ATTTACGAACGGAAAAATATGTGCAGGTTAGCCTAGTGGACATGGCATCTGCCCAGTAAGCGGAACACTGTGGGTTCGATTCCCACCCCTGGACTCTTTATTTTTCCGTTTATCATTACTCTTCACAATTCATCCTATCATACTTCATTCCTAAGCTTAGAAATAATCGTTATGTCTCCTTAAAATAAATTTAGAATTTTCGTTCAAAAGAAACATTTGCGGTATAATTGATAGTTCTTTGTTATCAGATGTAAATAGAAACCAATATTTAAATTTATGAGTTTTAAATTAAAAAAAAAAAAAAGAATAAAAAAAGGCTATATTTAATTCATTTTCAAAATACCACTATTCTGTTATAAGATATTCAATATTCTTCATGGGTATTGGACACCTTTCCTCTTAACTCTACATTACCAGTTACTATAATTGAAAACTTTATTTTGTTATATAAACTATTGTGAAGTCTTACGCCACAAAAGAAGTTGAAGTTAAACCGTTGAATATGGCGAAAATTAAATTCATGTAGCATTTAATGAACTTTATTCGTTCATTCTAACAGAGTAGTGCTAGTTTGAAAATGAATAAAATATAGCCTTTTTAATTCTTTTTTTATTTTTTACTAGACGCCGACCCGGGCTTCGCCCCGGGATTGACCCGTGTGCATATCTACCCGAGTGATATAAATTTAGATAAGATTTATTTTTAAATAATTGTTTTTACTCGAGGGAATGTTTGTAGTCTAGTACGTTGATATAATCAATCTATCTGAATATTAGGAAAGGTCAGGTAATTTTTTTGTAGGGTGATGCTCTGAAAAAGAACGCTATACCACTTTATCACTAAACAAATTGGAGAGTCAAAAATAAGCAACCTAAACAATCCATTAGCTTTGCAAGAACAGAAATAGAGAAATGCATGCAAAATTTTCAACACAAATCAAAATCTTTAATCCTCATTATTTTTTTATTTTTTTTTGCCTACCCCTAGTACACGTGGTACAGGCCATGATAAGCATGGTGGGTAGTTAGCGACTGCTTTTTACTGTAAGCGCACCACATGTCTACACATGTGAAAGCAGTTCGACTTTGCACTTACAAATGTGCCAGAGCCCCGTTTGGTTACTTGCACTCGCTGGTGGGGTTGGACTTTTGCAAGAATCGGGGGGCCATTGGAGCATTTTTTTTTTTTTAAACAGAAAAAGTGTCCAATGCGGGGATCGAACCCGGGTCGTAGTGGTCGTAAACCAAACGGTTTAACCAGCCTTCCACCGACCCCCCTTCCTCATCAGTAATGTATATTAGGTAGGATGAGGTTTATTTTGTTTCTATTACATTACATGGAATAGTTGTTTTTTTTTTCTAATAAAATTTACTGACCTCTTTGTTCACTGAAACCTAAACAATGAGTATGTTAGACCACTCTTTGTTCAACCTTACACATTGTTTAGGTCTCTTATTAGGTGCAAGATGTATACGTATGCTAAAATGGTAATTTGGGCAAACATAGGTAAATTCATGTTGGGCCAGTATTGTTCAGCAAGCCAACACAGATATAACATTACGGTATGAAGCAAGTTGTGCTAAAACAAATATTTCCAATCAAATTATCAAAAAAATAACATATACTATGTAATATAAACACATGTATGTAAAATAAACACAATAATAACCAATAATTAAAAACCATAAATTTTTCTAACACAGTATACTTCTTAAGCAAGAATACCTTACCATGAAGGTTTAAAACCCTACACATTGAAACATGTGAAAAATGTAGCATGTGTGTATGATGGGCTTGAAGAGAAAATATTTAAAAAATATATTTATTGAAAACTATATCGACAGATGAATCAGCTTTATAATCAATATGGGCATTATACTGCAAACCTGAAAACGGCTTATGAGTCCAAAGCTGAATACGCTGAACAGGAACTTGCAAAGTTTGTGTAGCTGCGACGCGGGCTTCAGAATACCTAAGACGGCGAAGCGCAAGACGCGTCTCACTTTGAAGTGGTGTCTCAATAGCTCTAGCATTCCTATATCTCCTGGAAGCAGCCGTATTCCTACCAATTAAAGGTCGGCTGCGGCGAGGCATATCCTGAAAAAAAAGATTGAGATTAATAACAAAAGCTTAAAAACCAGCAATTTATAAACAAAGCATAAAAATTACCTGTCTTTTTGAGGTAAAAATCAAAATTCTTAAATTTTTTCTCCAAAATAACCTTCCAGATAAGTTAAAAAGATTATAAAAAACAAAAAGCATAAAATTAAAAACTAAAAAATTAATGTACAAAACCAGTTATCATTAAAAAGCCTCAAAAATAGACCAACCGCAGGACACGGCAATGAAAAAGCATGTTTTTTTGAGGAAAAAATAGAAATAATTTTCTAAAATACAAAATACAACCCCTATATGCTAAAAAAAAAAAAAACTATAAATAATCTAAATATAAAATACTTAATCAAATAAATTAAAATATCTTAAATAAAATTTTGAAAAAGGACCTCAAAAAGACAAATAAATGAATCCGTTAAAGAAATCCCTCGCTTATTTCAAAATATAAATAACCTATTTTTTAGATACAACCCATATATGTAGAAAATATAATAAATAAACTGTATTTAAAAGATAAAAGCAATAATTAAAAAAACTCCATCAACCCATATAAGTGGAAAACACCATAAATAATCTGTAACTAAAATATCTAAACAATTAATTAAAAATTTTGTTAAGGTCCTCAAAAAAGACATAAAATTGAGCACATGAATGTGTATGTGTATCTCATCAAGTAACACGTAATAAAATAAAAAATAAACTTGATCTCATCAAGTAAGGCTTCAACCTTTTTCGGTATAAAATATGAAAACTATAAAATAAAAGTATCTTACCATGTATAAAAGTTATTATTAAAATCAATATATATATAAAAAAGATAGAACAAATTTAGCAAGAAGCGGAAAGTAAACACTTTTGAAAGTATAAATACTTTTACTCTCATAAGGTGGAATCCTCTGGTGTATAATAAGCAGCAAACATAAATAAATTCCGAGGATAAGTTTCTTTTATTTCAAAAATAATAGTCTTCGAGCTTTCGGGCGTAAATAGCCCTTCTTCAAGAAAATAGGAAGTAATTTTAAATTAAATTTTGAATTTCATATAGAAATGTTTGTAAACAATTAGATGGTGTTTTTCTTTGGTCCTGCATAGCGTGAGTGAATCTCGTATCCACGTGATTTAGTTCTAATCTAAAAACTTTTATATAGAGTTTTGCCCCCAGAAATATTGGCCGATTACATTGAATATATTGAAATGATTACTTGTCCCAAAATGAATATTCCAAGTCTGAATTAAATTTTATATCAATCTGGAAATTGCCATTGTTTATCTAGGATGTAGTTCTATGTATTAGGATTGTGTCTTAAGCTATTGTATATTTCTGGGATATCTATATGTCTATTGATGCTCTGGTGTTTTTTGGATACTATTGCTTCTAGGATTAGTCTTTTATATTTATTTTTTATGTTGGTGTAGTAGGTTTTTGGTTCATCTAAATTAAAAGTATGGCCTGTTGTTTTAATATGTTGAAAGATAAGTGATCTATTGTCTTTGTTATTTATATTTCTATTGTGTTCATTAATCCTGTCCTTAACTGACCTGCCTGTTTCTCCTACATATATACTATTACAATGGTTACATTTAACGGAATAGATGGCCTGTTTGTTGTGTATTGGTAGGATAGGGCTATTGTTTTTGGTGTTAGGATTTCTAACTATAGAACCAATGTTTGGAGTATTTTCATAAAAAATTCTGATTCCGTGTTTTTTAAGTTCTCGGGCTATTTTGATGTTATTGGGGGAATAAGGTATGATGCAGACCGACAGATTACTGGCCACTTCCCAACAGAAATTCAAATATGGAGCAGGTATATAGACGATATATTCTGCTTATGCCACACAGAAACAATAGATAGCATTTTAACCAAATTAAAAGACTTTCATAAAGAAATAGACTTCACCCTAGAAAAAGAAACCAATGGCACGTTACCTTTCTTAGATATTTTCATCAACAGGAAAAACCAGAAATTCAACACTACAGTATATTATAAGCCCACTTTCCAACCCAACTATATACACTACTCCTCATATTGCCCTTTAAATCATAAAATAAACACCATAAAAACCCTCACAAAAAGGATCCATACCCATTGTTCCAATCAAACATTTAAAACAATAGAAACTCAAAATATAATGCAAAACCTTCTCATAGCAGGATACCTAAAAAATTTTATACTAAGACATTTTATAACCCTTCCACAATCAACAATAACCAGACATATAGATCAACATGCATCATACCTTATTCCCCCCAATAACATCAAAATAGCCCGAGAACTTAAAAAACACGGAATCAGAATTTTTTATGAAAATACTCCAAACATTGGTTCTATAGTTAGAAATCCTAACACCAAAAACAATAGCCCTATCCTACCAATACACAACAAACAGGCCATCTATTCCGTTAAATGTAACCATTGTAATAGTATATATGTAGGAGAAACAGGCAGGTCAGTTAAGGACAGGATTAATGAACACAATAGAAATATAAATAACAAAGACAATAGATCACTTATCTTTCAACATATTAAAACAACAGGCCATACTTTTAATTTAGATGAACCAAAAACCTACTACACCAACATAAAAATAAATATAAAAGACTAATCCTAGAAGCAATAGTATCCAAAAAACACCAGAGCATCAATAGACATATAGATATCCCAGAAATATACAATAGCTTAAGACACAATCCTAATACATAGAACTACATCCTAGATAAACAATGGCAATTTCCAGATTGATATAAAATTTAATTCAGACTTGGAATATTCATTTTGGGACAAATAATCATTTCAATATATTCAATGTAATCGGCCAATATTTCTGGGGGCAAAACTCTATATAAAAGTTTTTAGATTAGAACTAAATCACGTGGATACGAGATTCACTCACGCTATGCAGGACCAAAGAAAAACACCATCTAATTGTTTACAAACATTTCTATATGAAATTCAAAATTTAATTTAAAATTACTTCCT